ACGATTGCATGGCCATGGCCGTACGTGCTTTTTCCATGTATGCAAGTGTTGGCATGCATGCTACTATATACACAGTTACACGCGTGTGGTATTATTACAGTGGTTAGTTTAATTTACCACGCACAGTCGTATACATAATTTAGCCACTCGCAGTCCATAAATAAAGGAAATTCATAGCCACTAACAGTAGATAAATAATAATTTTCAAAATCTAGAAAAAAAGAAAATCTAGAAAAGGAAATGTATAAAAAATATTATTTTAGCATATATCAAAATTAGATAAAATGTCATCCCGAAAATTTACAATGGTATTATGGCAAAGAGATGCTTGCATTAAAATGTGGCAAAAAAAGATTAATTGCAAATAGGTACATTATTTCGCCGCCCATAGGATTCCACCTGTCGCTATCTTTATAGTAATACTGCGCTATACGACAATGAGCACCGCTGGAAATTATCGCACGCAAACTTTTCTCTCAATAACGACACACACACACACCGACACGTCAGTGTGCGGTGGCGATGCAGGCATCTCGCCGCTCACCCGCGGCTATAAATAATGCGGGTCCAACGATCGTCCACCCCGCAGACCGTTCTTGTGTAGATATCCATCGCCAAACTTGATATCGCAATGCTCTTAAGTAGATGTTGCCATGGCTCTCTCTTGTGTTCTATGTCTGATGCAAATCTTGTTGTACAGTCCCCCCCCTAGGTATTATTGCGACCGGTTAAGTTTCAAGGGTTTTCGAATTTCAAGCTTACTATGCTTAATCCATTCTTTTCCTAGGTCATGCCTGAAGCTCCACTACACTACAACACTACAAATAGCATCTAACGTCTGTTGCTAAATGTTGACATTAACATTGAAAGGTGAGTCGCTAAACCTTGTCCTCAAATCGTCAAGTTGCTAATATCAAATACTACGATGGATGATCCGTTGCTATAAATATTTTGCTTTTACGTTGGATCATGTTGTCGGTCGCTAAAAGTTGGACCGTCGAACTGTCCATCGCTAAAGATGATGTCCGTCGTTGTATACATATAACGACGACTTCATTAGCAACTGCAAGGGTCCGTTGCTATAACCTTTAGCAATTGACTGTCCATTGTTGTACACCCCTTTTAGTAACTCCAAATCAGTCGCTGTTTAAAGGTCGTGGTGTAGTGCTCGTCCATTGCGGCATCTATTTTTAATCAGCCTTCTCCTACCAAGTCAGATCTATCATATTTTTAATATTTCCCGTATTTGTTTGTCTTTTATACTTTGATTTTCCTCTTTCGTTTGGCACGAATCATGCTCATGTTGTGGCTATTTGGTGCATGGTGATATTAATGTTAAAATTCCCCTAAAATCACAATAGTTTGGATGTGGGGCAAATATTCTTACATATTAATTACAACTTTACATGGATTGATTTAAAACTGTTGTTGTGTAAGTGAAAATAATGTGATTTTTTATACACGAAAAGTGGCCAAAACATAGGATCAAATGTAAGGAAATAAACCTTACAACTGCAACACAAATATATAAGTGCTTATTTTTTTACCAGCTTATGTTTACAACAACATCATGCATATATACTGTGTTGTGGTATAATCTACTATTATGATTTTTCTGTGTTATAGATATTTACTATATATCCAAACTTATAGTTCATAAAATAATTATATATGTGTTATTGTATTATTATTTTATATGTATATATATCTTATATAGAGACGGTATACTGGGGAAACCCGAAAACAACTTCCTCTCAAAAAGGAAATAGCTCGGAGTAGAGAAAAAAAAAACAGGGCTTTTTGCCCAACTAACTAAGTGAAAGTCATCTTCACTTTTTACATGTCGGAATCACAAGAACACTTCACCACACCACGTAAACACATATACCCACAATGGGTTGCTTTACTAACAGGCAGTTTCACTCTCATCATGCTGTACACGTGACACAAGTGCGTGCGACAGGGTGTACACATCACTCCTGGTTGATCCCTATCACACTGGCATGGGACAAATCGCTCCTCATGCATGGCATGCACGGCTGCACCCCTAGTGACAGGGAGAGAGATACAAGGCATCTTTACACACAGCGTCTTCTGGGAGAAGCAGCCGAGGAATCTATCTGTCATGGACATGTCACTGGAGATATATGATCCATACACAGAAAAGTATCCTGCAGCACCATCTTGAAGCTACGTTGGGATATATCGAGTACGAGACAACACACGCAAGCGCCACTGCAAGCACTTGAGCCCCTATAAATACATGCCTTGGGGCCTCGAAATCATCATCAACTCACAAACAAACCTTCATTCGCAACACACACATTACTAGAAACTAGTGAATAATAAACCTCACCACCACCGCCACCATGCTTTCCTGATATACTTCGTCTTCCTCGGCAAGCTCATGTGGGCATAATCTCCTCGCATGCAGATTTGCACAGCCAGAAACTAATCTACACCAGTGACTGTGTAGTTAGTTATTAGCGCACGTACTAGCTAGCTCTGGCTAGTGTGTGTTAGCATCAGAGAGATTGATCAATTCATGATGGCTTCCTCCTTGCCGCTGGTCACGACTGGACTCCGCTGTCCGCCATCGACGTCCAGCGACGGCCACGGAGGCACGCGGAACGAGGACTCTCTGAATTGGTGCGCGTGGGCGCACCAAGGGCACCGCCTGTGGGTGGGCATGCCAGACTCGTTCTGGGTGTTCACGTACAAGGTGGAACGGTGCCCGTTCCCGGGCAACCACGTTTGGATGTCGTGCCCGTACGCGCACAGGGGCGAGCGCGCGCGCCGCCGCGACCCCAGAAGCTTTTGGTACGCCGCCGCGCCGTGCCCGGAGTACGAGGAGTCCAAGAGGCAGCTCCGGCTCGCCGGGTCCAGCGCGACGCCCACCTGCGCGTGTGGCCTCCACTGCGGCTACGCGCACGGAATCTTCGAGACGTGGCTGCACCCCACCAGATTCCGCACCGTCATGTGCCAGCGCGGCGCCGAGTGCACGCGCAGGATCTGCTTCTTCGCGCACTGCCTCGCGCAACGTAGGCGTGAGGACGAGGAAGTGCCCCTCGTCGTCTTCCCCGTGACGCAGCCGCCCCCGGTCTTCGTCCCGCGCGCCCCACGTCTGGCGGCGTCGGCGTCCTCATTCTCCCGCTCCCGCTACCAGTCGGTCTCGATCGTCTCTCGTCCGGTTGACCGCGTGACGCAGGCCATGCAGCAGGGCCACAGCGTGCACCTGCTTACGCGGCACTCCGATGTCGCCGGCGCTTCGTCGTCGTCCTCCTCCCTTGCCGCTGTCTCTACTGCTGCTGCCCCACGGCGCTGGTGCCGCTGTCGGCGCCGCTACTGCAGGCCTCGCCGTCGCCGGTCGACGACGAGGATATCGACTTCGTCGCCATTGTGACCAACTGCTGCCTCGCCTCCGAGGCAGACTCTAAGGCTGAGGGCAGTGGCTACTCGCACTTCGACCTCTTCATGGACATCGTGAGGAGGTAGAAAGCTAGGTAAGGATCGATCGATTGCAAGTAATTACCGCCCGCGCATTCGTCCACACGCACACAAACACTTACTATAGCTTTTGACGTTGTTTCTGTCTACGTTGCTACGTTAGATGTGACGGCGTCATGCGGCGCAATGCATTTGGATGGATCGGCGCCTCGCCATGTGGAGGTGGTCTGGACGGTGAAATTAGGGGCGCCAGCAGCAGCAGCAGCATCGCCACAAGGCCCGTGCCAAACGCACGCATCGACGCTATGCACTGCGCCGTCATCACATGTAACGTAACGCGGGCAGAAACAAACGTTAATCAAAAGCTATAGTGTGTGTGCGCGCGCTTGTTTGTGGACGCATGCACGGGTTCTCGCGGTAGTTACTGTACTTGTGATCGATGGATCCTTACATAGCTTTTCTTGCTCCTGATGATGTCCATAATGAGCTCGAAGTGCGGGCAGTAGTCGTTGCCTTTAGCCTTAGAGTCTTCCTCCGACGCGAGGCTGCAGCCGATGGCAATGGCGATGAAGTCAGATATCCTCATCGTCGACCGGCGACGACAAGGCCTGCAGCAGCGCTGATGGCGGCACCGGCGCTGTGGCGCCGGCAGCAGTAGTAAGGACAGCGGCACGGGAGGAGGACGACTACGAAGTGTCGGCGGCATCGGAGCGGCGCGTAAGCAGGCGCACGCTGCGCCCTACTGCATGGCCTGCGTGACGCGGTCAACCCTGGGAGCGGGAGGATGCTGACGCGGGACGAAGGCCGGGGGTGGCGGCGTGGCGGGGAAGACGACGAGTGGCACCTCGTCTTCCTCGCGCATGCGCTGCGCGAGGCATTGCGCGAAGAAGCAGATCCTGCGCAGGCAATCGGCGCCGCCGTCGCACGTGACGGTGCGGAACCTGGTGGGGTGCAGCCACGTCTCGAAGATGCCGTGCGCGTAGCCGCAGCGGACGCCGGGCGAGTAGGCGGGCGCCACGTTGGTTGGACCCGGCTAGCTGGAGCCACCTCTTCGACTCGGCGTACTTGGGGAACGACGCGGCGGCGTACGTGAAGCGGCTGGGGTCGGGGCGGCGCGCGCGCTCCCCCCCTGTGCGCGTACGTGCACGTCGTCCACACGTGGTTGCCCGGGAACGGGTACCGCTCCGTAGACCCAGAACGAGTCTGGCATGCCCACCCACAGGCGATGCCCACGCGCACCAGTTCAAGGGGTCCTCGTTCCGGCCGCCGCCGTTCGGGCGTGTGCCGCCATGCCCGTCCCTCGACGTCGTTGACGGCGGACGGCGGAGAGCCCAGTCGTGACCAGTGGCAAGGAGGATTGGAGGCCATCACGAATTAATCGATCTCTTATGCTAACACACTAGGTAGAGCTAGTGCGCTAACTACACGGTCACTGGTTTAGATTAGGCTACATGATCACAAGGCCAGGGCGCGTGCAGCCCGCAGGGGGTACAGGGATCACTGGATCAGGATCATCACAAGGGAGCAGCAACAAGCTCATGCGAGACTCCAGTCTACTCCCCTTGCAGCGGCACGCGGAGTGTAGGAACGAGCAGGAGTCGGGAGAGGCGGCGGGTCGTGATCCCCGGCGCCTCCGTCATGTCCAGCTCGCCGGGCTGCACCCCGTCCGGCAGCGCCCAGTCGAAGTGGTAGAGGAGGGAGGCGAGCGCGAGGTCCATGTTGGCCAACCCGAACGCTATGCCGGGGCACATCCGCCGCCCGGCCCCAAACGGGATGAACTCGAAGCCCGTCCCTTTGAAGTCGACGGCGCCGCCGCCCTCGAACCGCTCCGGCGAGAACTCCTCCGGCGCGTCCCAGTGCCTGGGGTCCCTGCCGATCGCCCACGCGTTGATGAGGACCATCGCCCCCGCCGGCACGTCGAATCTCAGGACCCGGCACCGCGTCCGGCACTCCCGTGGGATCAGCAGTGGCGCCGGAGGTGCAGCCGGAGCGCCTCCTTTATGACGAGCGGCAGGTAACGCAGACCGCTCAGGCTGTCCTCTGTGATGGTCTCCTGCCCGGCGAGGACTCGCCGGACCTCGTCCTGCGCCTTGCGCATTACGCTTGGGTTCCTCATCAGCTCCGCCACGGTCCACTGCAGCGTGGTCGCCGACGTCTCGCTGCTGTTAGCTAATCTACTGCCACCTTGTGTGAACACGACAGAGGAAGGCGACGCCGACTTAGCCGCATGCTGTGTGTGAACACAGCAAGGGAAGGCGGCACCGACTTTGCCCCCTGTTGTGATCATGGGCGCTGCAGGTGCGCGCGCGCCCGCACGCTCACCTGCTGATCCTCAGTAGGAAACAGGCGGGCGTACGTAGTCGTCGCCCTATCAGGTTATCTAGTTATTGTGCCAGTATGGACGCTGCACATGGACTAGATAGTTAGAGTTGTATAAATAGACATGTATGGCAACTCAGTAAAGAGATCTCAAATTTGCCATCACACAGACAGGACCTCGCCCAACGCTGTTGTCTTATATTGTGCGTGCCTGCTCTATTCTCCCTTCTTCTTCTAAGCTCGTCCGTAGTGTGTGGAGTACAGCACAACGCCGCGATGCGTGGTCTGCACGCGGCTAGTGGGTGCTCGGCAACACTAGCACGTGCTCGGCGAGACCGTCAAGTGCTCCACTACTTTGAGCCGGTGCTCGGCAAGATCGGTGGAGTGGTTCACCGTCGTGAGCGGTGATCTGTGTGAGACCAACAACGGAGTGGTGCGGAGGCCATCTCGGTGGTCGGGAGGCTAACGTCGGGCCAACAAGTGGTATCGAGCCGTTAAGCGCCCGTCGTCATTCTAACCGATGGCGATGGCGACAAGCGGTTCGGAATTGGACGACGGCGTGTATCGCTGTGGTGGCTGCCCGCCCACTACCGGATGTACGTTGTTCGCCTTGCGGTGCGGGAGGTCGATGGCACCACTTGGCCGACGCCGACTCGCACTAACTATGGAGGACGGTGGTGACCATGAAGGTCAAGCTCGAGCCAGCGGCTCTGGATTGCTATTGACAAGGGCACCGATGTTGAAGAAGACGACATGTCGGCGTTGGAGGCTATCCTCGGCGCTTTGTCGCGTGAGTCTGAGGGAACCATTGGGGATGAAAGGCTCACTAAGGAGGCGGGAGGCCATTGCGGCGATGCGCGTCGGTTCCGACCGCGCAAAGAAGGCGACGGCCCAGCTTTTGAAGCAGGAGTACGCAAACCTCAAGTTCAAGGATGGTGAAGCAGTGGAGGATTTTTTTCCTCCGCCTGCAGACACTCATCAGCAAGCTGAAGAGCCACGGCATCACCATCGACAAAGAGGAGGCGGTCTCCAAGTTCCTCCACTCCGTGCCGACAAAGTACATCCAGATCGCTCTCTCCATAGAGACGATGCTGGACTTGTCCACCCTCACTATTGAGGATGTGGCAGACCGTCTGCGGGCGATGGACGAGCGCCTGGGGCAGGCGACAGCAACGAAGGATAGCGGGAAACTCCTGCTGACGGAAGAGGAGTGGGCTGCTCGACGAAACTCCGGGAAGGCAGCCTCCTCCAGTCGCGGTGGCAAGGGCAAGCACCGAGACGGGGCTTCTTCGAAGAAGAAGAAGCACATCGACTCCAACGCCTATCGGTGTTGCGGGAAGATGGGCCATTGGACACGGGAGTGCCCAAATCGCAAGAAGGAAAAGAAGGCTCAGGCTCACCTGGCGAAAGCCGATGATGAGGATGAGGCCACTATCCTTATGTCGACGTTCTATGCACTGCACGACGTCGAGGCCATGGAGAGGGAAGAGGCGACGACGGTGGAAGGACCTGGGAAGGCCCTGAAGATCGTCAACCTCGACGAACCACGTGCCCAAGTTCACCTCGGGCGTGTGGGCGTCGACCAGGAGCAGCCGTGGTATCTGGACTCTGGTGCCAGTAACCACATGACGGGCTCCAAGGACTCCTTCTCCGAGCTCGACGGCGATGTTACTGGTACGGTGAAGTTTGGTGATGGCTCAAGGGTGGCTATCCAAGGGCGCGGCACCATCATCTTCAGATGCCAGAACGGGGAGCACCGCGCGCTAACGGATGTATACTACATCCCGCAGCTGCGTTCCAGCATCATCAGCATTGGCCAGCTGGATGAGCGTGGTAGCGAGGTTCTGATCAAGGACGGCATTCTGAGGATCAGATACCAGGAGCAGTGACTTCTCGCCAAGGTGAAGAGGTCCTTGAACCGGTTGTACCTACTCAACCTAAAGGTAGAGCAGCCGGTTTGCCTGGCGACAAGGCACTCCGAGAAACCGTGGATGTGGCATGCCCGGTTCGGACATCTCAGCTTTGACACGCTTGGTCGGCTTGGGAAGATGGTCCGAGGGCTACCCACATCAAACACGGAGGCGAGCTGTGTGACAGCTGCCTGGCCGGAAAGCAGAGGAGGCTACCTTTCCCAAAGGCGGCCAAGTATCACTCGAAGGAACCTCTCGAGCTAGTTCACGGCGACCTCTGCGGGCCGATCACGCCAGCTACATGCGGTGGTCGGCGGTACTTCCTCCTACTCGTGGACGATTGTAGTTGCTACATGTGGCTGCAACTCCTGAAGAGCAAGGACGAAGCGGCGGTGGCGATCAAGAAGTTCAAGATGCGCGCGGAGGCCGAGAGGGGCAAGAAGCTCCGTGTACTGAGGACTGATCTAGGTGGTGAATTCACTTCGGTGGAGTTTGCTACGTACTGCGTGGATCAGGGTGTGGGACAACATCACACCGCGCCGTACTCGCCACAACAGAATGGCGTGGTGGAGCGACGGAACCAGACAGTGGTCGGCATGGCCTGATCCATGATGAAGGCCAAAGGGATGCCGGCAAAATTCTGGGGAGAGGCGGTGACCACGGCGGTGTTCATCCTCAATCGCGCTCCAACCAAGGCCCTAACGGGCAAGACGCCGTTCGAAGCTTAGTACGGGAGCAAGCCAAACGTGTCATTCCTTCGGACATTCGGTTGCATCGGCCACGTCAGGAAGACGAAGCCAAACCTCACCAAGCTAGAGGACAGGAGCACACCCATGGTGTTCCTGGGCTATGCAGAGGGTACCAAGGCGTACCGGCTCTATGACCCACGCGGAGACAAGGTGATTGTCTCGCGCGACGTTGTATTCAACGAGGAGGTGGCTTGGGACTGGAACAGTCCGAGCACGGGGGAAGCAGGAGGCTTCCCCAACACCTTCATCGTCGAGCACTTGGTCATCCATGGTGGTGGAGACGCTGCGGAACATGTGCCACGCACTCTAGGAGGAGCGCCGAGCACTCCGGCGGTAGAGTCGAGCACTTCTGGGGCAGTGCCGAGCACTTTAGGAGGGATGCCGAGCACTCCGGGAGGAGTGTCGAGCACTTTTGGAGGGATGCCAGGCACGCCAGGAGTGGAGCCAGGAGGTTCTACAATGGTGGCGACCACTTCAGGACGGATGCCGAGCACTCCCGTGGCAGAGCCAAGACGTCTTACTGTGATCCCAACCACTCTAAGACTGAGGCTAGGCACTTCTATAGTGTGGCCGAACACTGCAGGAGTTATGATGAGCAGTCCAGAAGCAGCGCCGAGCACTTCGGGTGCTATGCAGGGCACTCCGGTGGAAGAAGGAACTCCATCACTCCCGATCGAGTTCACCTCACCTCCAAGTGACATCACTAAGTTCGTGAACGCCTACCACGAAGGTGAGGAGTTGAGGTTCCGTAGGCTGGACGACATCGTCGGCGGCATAGGTCCCTCAGGTCTGGTGGGTAGGCTGCTCAACGACGTAGAGCTGCTACTCGTCAGCGCAGAGGAACCACCCATGTTCGCGCTAGCCGAGCGCGATGGAAACTGGCAACGGGCGATGCTGGAGGAGATGAAGGCGATCGAGGAAAACGAGACTTGGCAGCTCGTCGATCCACCTCCAGGATGCCGTCCGATCAGCCTGAAGTGGGTGTACAAAGTCAAAAGGGACGAGCTCGGCGCCATTGTCAAGCACAAGGCGTGCCTCGTCGCCCGAGGCTTTGTCCAGCGCGAGGGCATCGACTTCGAGGAGGTCTTTGCGCCAGTAGCGCGCATGGAGTCGGTCCGTTTGCTACTTGCTTTGGCGGTAGCAAAGGACTGGCGCGTCCATCACTTGGACGTTAAATCGGCCTTCCTCAACGGTGAGCTGGCGGAAATGGTCTTCGTCAGGCAACCTCCAAGGTTCGCTGTCAAGGGAGAGGAGCACAGGTGAAAGGTCGAGATGGCGGACTAGAGGGGGGGTGAATAGTCTTTTGTAAAATTAATCGCGTCGGCTAACCGAAACAAATGCGGAAATACAACTATCAGTCTAGCCAAGACTACACCCCTCAATATATGTTCTATAGCACCTTGCAAAGATACTAATAAAGCAACTAAGGTGCCGGGCTAGCTAGAGCTCTCCTAAACAATTCTAGGAGCAAGGTCACACAAACCTATGCCACTAGTACTTTAAGTAACAAGGGAGCTCCTACACATGCTAGTAAGCAAAAACACAAAGCTAACTAAGCTCACTAGCAATGCTCAATAACAAGGCAACCAATGCCTAATTAGAGAGCGCAAATACTTAGCTACACAAACTAAGTAATGTGACTAACAAGGTTACTAAAACCAAATTAGCCACACAAGGAAGCTACTTCTATGCTACACAAGCAAGAAGGTAATTAGCTAGCTACACAAGCTATCTAATTACAAGAGCAACTACACAAGCTTAAGATATATAAAAGTAACTGCAAGCTTGTGTAATGGGGATGCAAACCAACGGGAAGAACAAGGTTGACACGATGATTTTTCTCCCGAGGTTCACGTGTTTGCCAACACGCTAGTCCCCGTTGTGTCGACCGCTCACTTGGTGGTTCGACGGCTAATTAGCATCACCCGCTAAGCCCACACGTCGGGCACTGTAAGAACCTACCCCTTGAGTGAGGGTAGCTCAATGACACGCTTTACTAAAGTTGCTCTTCGTGACTCCCGCGGGGCGAGCACAAGTACCCCTCACAAGCACTTCTCCGGAGCGCCGCACAAGCTTCTTGCGGGCTTCGACGGAGACCACCACCAAGCCGTCTAGGAGGTGGCAACCTCCAAGAGTAACAAGCACCACCGGCTTGCAACTCGATCACCTAGTGCCACTCGATGCAACCTCACGATGCAATCACACTAGAATCGCTCACTCACACAATCGAATGATCACTATCAAGTATATGTGTGATGGAGGGCTCCCAAGCACTCATAAGCATGGACACTAAGTCCTCTTAGGTGCTCAGCACCAGCCATGGCCGAAGGCCACTTCTATTTATAGCCCCAAGGGCTAAACTAGCCGTTACCTCTTCACTGGGCAAAAATCGGGCTGACCGGACGCTCCGGTCGTGCTGACCGAACGCTGGACCTCAGCGTCCGGTCGTCCGCAGACGGCCACACGTCCCAATCCCAACGGTCACTTGACCTGACCGGACGCAGCGGTAAAACTGACCGGACACTGAAGCCCCAGCGTCCGGTCGTTTCCAGTAAGCTCCCCGAGGCATATTTTCTCGACCGGTCGCGTCCGGTCCACCTTGACCGGACACAGACCAGCGTTCGGTGCAATACCCTCGGTACAGTGCAGACCCGTCAGTTTGACCGGACGCAGCCTTTCAGCGTCCGGTCGATGCATGACCCAGCGTCCGGTCAGTAGATCGACGCCAGCATCTTCGCGATCAACTCGTTTTCACTTCTAACTTCTTCACCCTTGCTCCAATGTGCCAACCACAAGAATTTACATCCGGCGCAATAGAAAATAGGCATTCCATTTTCCTGAAAGCGCTGCAAACATTTCCCAACAACACCCAAACCCATCTCAACCCTGCAAACACCACCTCCTTTTATAAATGTGCCAACAACACCAAGTGTACACCACCATGTGTATGTGTGTTTGCTTTTCACAATCATTTCCCAAATGATGTTAGCCACTCAACTTGCCACGCCACTCGATCCTAGCGACGATGCAAAGTTAGATTACTCGAGTGGCACTAGATGACCGATATGCAAACAAGTTTGCTCTTCTTGATAGTACGGCCATCTATCCTAAACCCGGTCATCAACTTCTCTACACACCTATGACCGGTGAAATGAAATGCCCTAGGTTTTACCTTTGCCTTGCGCATTCCATTCCATCTCCTCCAATATCGATGCAACACATGCACCAACACGATCAACAATGATATGATCCACTTCATATCATCACGTGATCATATTGGTTCATCGATCTTGACTTCACTTGTCCTTCACCGTTGCCATCGTCCATCGGCGCCAAGTCTTGCTCAAGCTTCACCGCCATGCGGTCCATCACTCCAAAGCCTTTGACTTGCCCTTCACGCTTGTAACCGGTCCATCAAGCCAAGTCTTGTCTTGATCTTCTCCACCTTGATCACATGACTCAATGTCATGTCTCATGTTCATTTAAGCTCCTTCATCATCATATGTGCGAGCTTTGCAACATCTTCAAAATATGTTGCTCACACATATGTACCTGTGGACTAATCACCTGTGTATCTCACATAAACACAATTAGTCCACCTAAGTTGTCACTCAATTACCAAAACCACACAAGGACCTTTCGACAGGATGCTCCGCCTGCGCAAAGCGCTCTACGGGCTGCGGCAAGCCCCTCGAGCATGGAACGCCAAGCTTGACGTCACGCTGGGCGAACTTGGGTTTCAAAGGTGCGCAACTGAGCACGCGCTCTACACGCGACGACGGGGGAAGGAAGAGCTCGTGGTCGGCGTGTATGTGGATGACTTAATCGTCACCGGCGCGCGCACGGAGGATATCAACAGCTTCAAGCGAGAGATGGCAGCTCGTTTCCGAATGAGCGATCTCGGCGCTCTCTCCTACTACCTCGGCATCGAGGTGAGACAGGGGAAGGAGGAACTCACACTCGGGCAAAGCGCGTATGCCTCCAAGCTGTTGGAGAGGAGCGGCATGGTGGAGTGCAAGCCATGCGTGACTCCGATGGAGGAGCGGCTGAAGCTGACGAAGGCCAGCACTGCGGCGAAGGTGGATGCAACACTCTACAGGAGCATCGTCGGCGGTCTACGCTACCTAGTCCACATGAGGCCAGACATTGCGTTCGCCGTGGGCTACGTCAGTCGCTTCATGGAGGATCCTAGAGAGGATCACTGGGCTGCGGTGAAGCGGCTACTACGCTACGTCAAGGGGACGGTGAATCGTGGAATCATCTTCTCAAAGACCGGCGGGAGTAGGCTGCAGCTCATGGTATTCAGCGATGCAGACATGGCGGGGGACATCGACGGATGACGGAGCATCTCTGGCGTGCTCGTCTTCCTCGTGTCAGCCCTAATTTCATGGCTGTCACTGAAACAGAAGATGGTGGCGCTATCTACGTGCGAGGCAGAGTACGTAGCGGTGGCCACAGCGGCGTGCCAAGTTGTGTGGCTACGCCGGCTGCTGGGCGAGCTGACCGGCATGGAAGCTCACCCACCAGCACTGATGGTGGACAACCAGTCCGCCATCGCCCTCGCAAAGAATCCGATTCTGCACGACCGGAGTAAACACATCGACGTAAATTTCCACTTCCTCAAGGACTGTGTTGATGGAGGGCTAATCGTCATCGAGTTCGTCGAAACTGCTCGACAGCTCGCAGACGTCCTCACCAAGCCGCTCGGACGACTTCGACTCATGGAGCTGAAGGAGATGATCGACATGGAGAGGGTACAAGGGTTAGCAGTAGGATTATGAGAAGATTGTTAGCTAATCTACTGCCACCTTGTGTGAACACAGCAGAGGAAGGCGGCGCCAACTTAGCCGTCTGCTGTGTGTGAACACAGCAAGGAAAGGCGGCGCCGACTTTGTCCCCTGCTGTGATACAGTAGGCGCTGCAGGTGTAGGCGCCGCACGGCTCACCTGCAGCACTGTAGGAACAGACAGTGGCCGGCGCAGAGTCAGCCCTGTCAAGTTATCTAGTTACTGTGCCAGCATGGGCGCTGCACATGGATTAGATAGTTAGAGTTGTACAAATAGACATGTATGGCAACTCAGTAAAGAGAGCTCAGATTTGACATCACACAGATAGGACCTCGTCCAACGCTGTTGTCTTGTATTGTGCGTGCTTGCTCTGTTCTCCCTTCTTCTTCTAAGCTCGTCCGTAGTATGTGGGTACGGACAACGCCGGTACGTGGTCTACACGGCTAGTGGGTGTTCGGCAACACTAGCACGTGCTCGGCGAGACCGTCAAGTGCTCCACTCGCCTGAGCCGGTTCTCGGCAAGATCGGCTGGAGTGGTTCACTGTCGTAAGCCGGTGATCCTGTAAGACCAACGGAGTGGTCTGGAGGCCATCTCGGTGATCGGGAGGCTAACTGTGGGCCGACAGCTGCTCCCTCCAAATATGTCCTGACAGTATACCGTAGCATCATTATTCACAGCTCATGATTTTCTGATTATATTAGAACTGGAAATCTTACGATGATGACTGCCTTGATGTTATCGGTGGTGAGGGGTGAATCGAGCTCGTCCTCCCTCTGGATCCTCAGTAGCACGTCGAGCAAGTCGTCGTCGTCATCGGTGTCGGCGGCGCCTCTGCTGTCTTGGTGGTCCTAGATGATGGTGTCGATGAACGCCATCATGTCCTGGCGCTCGCGCTTCAAGAGCCGCAGCGTCGGGCTGACGAGCGTCGCCAAGCGCGAGGACGGGAAGAGGTCCGGCAGGATCTGCGCGGGCACGTTCCGGAGGCGGCGCTCCAGCAGGCGTAGGAACGTGTCCCTGTCCCTGAACTTGCTGCCGATGATGGCGCGCACGGACGCGTCGGCCACGTACGCTGACACCATCTCGCTCAGGTCGACCGGCGCCGGCGCCGCCGCCACGGAGCGGAGGAGCCGGCGGACCTCGTCCTCGCGCACGGCCCTGAACGACCGTACGCGGCGCGCGCTGAGCAGCTCTGTGGTGCAGATCCTGCGGAGCTGCCTCCACCCGTCGCCGTAGGGTGCGAACACGAGGCCGAGGCTGCCGTCGCCGAGCAGGGCCCTGGCCGTGTGGCTGACAGGCCGCGTCGCGAAGGCGAGGTCGTGGGTCCGCATCACCTCGCGCGCGGCGTCGGCCGAGGAGGCCACCACGACGCGGAGCTCGCCGAGGCGGAGCAGCATGAGCGGGCCGAGGCGCCTCGCCAGGTCCCGCATGGCGCGGTGCGGGAGCGCGCCCGCGAGGGCCAGGTGGTGGAGGTGGCCGATCACCGGGAGCGCCCACGGAGACGGAGGAGGGAGCGGCGCCGCGCCGCTGCGCCGGTGCCAGGCCGACGATCGGTGGAGCACGAGGAGTGGGATGGCGGCGAGCAGAGGAATCAAGATAAGGAGGAGGTAGTAGCAGTAGTGGAGTGGGAGCTCGGCCATGGCCATCTGCGTCATTGCCTGCGTTTTAGTTGAGGTTGAGAAGTAGAGGTTCACGAGATCATCAGCCGCTTGTACGTGCTCTGCTCTGGGGTGCGCCAGCGCCATGCGCACCGCACTGTCTCTGCAAATGGCGCAGTGCATATAACGAGCGCGAGCGAGGAAACCAAAGGAGCGGGCCCCTCTGCAGGACCCGGACCCACCCGGCACGGCGGCACCCCGCGCCGCGCCGGCCTCGCCGCTGCCGCATGCAGACTTGCAGAGGCCGTGGTGGACCGCAGTCTTGTTGCTTCGCCTCGGGTTGGGTTGGGCCAACAAAGGAACCCCAACTTGGCAGGAAAAGGCCCACGGAGGTTCTCCTGGCCTTCTTCCTCGTTGGTGCTGTCACAGACTCAACAGGTGAGTGTACCATACCAATTCCATGTTTCCATGGATCCCATCGCCCTGTCGATCCGTTCTAGATCGCTCTGTTCTTTTCTTGAGTATGCCGGCCGTCCTCTATGCAAGATCGAGGCACAGGCGCTGAGGCGCATAGCCTCCTTGTTTCTACTGGGATGGGCTGGGCACATGGAATTGTTTAGAGGATGTCGTAGTCGGAGCCAATGGGGAATATAGAACATATATATAAATGAAACAGAAATGTTATATAACACATATATGTTTTAGTAAAAAAACACATTGATTTTTTAGCATAAAAAACACACGGCGAGCGCACGTGGCAGCGCAGCACCAGCAGTGCGCTTTCTGCGCCTCAACTGTCATGAGCGACTTCTGCGCCTCGACTGCCTCCTTCGCGCATGGAGAATCGCGCCCGGCCAGGGGCCCCACGACGCGACGACCCATGACGAACGGGCAGGCAATGGAACCAACCACTTTGTGATTTGTCCTTCCATAGAAAAAATTATTTTATGTGATATGTGATATGTGATCTGTGGATCTATGATCTTGCGATTGTCTGAAGGTAGAAGAAGGCTAGAGGTAGAAGAAGGATGGAGGCTGTTGGATCTTAATTTTATGGTGCAAAAAATTTTATATGTTAAAATTGCTTAAAACACATGGTTGTGCAGTAGACAGACTCTAAATGAAAATAGGGCAGTATATTTCTATATATCAAAGCAGGTTGATTTAGCCGCCTCTCAGGGTGGCCACGTCACCCCGAATTCTCCTAGCCGTTCGATCGTCCGTCGTGTGGCCCAGATTTTTTGTAGCGGCTTTCGTTCGAATCAGCTTCATGCAGATCCTCGTCGCTTTGCGTTGATTTAGCCAGCTTTTACTGCGTCGGCTCCGAATCCGGTCGACCAAATATAAACAGCAGCTTCTGCTTCTCCTTCTGGATTCTTCTCAAAATATCTCGCCTCCTCTTCCTCTCCCGAGCTCGACGCCTCTCCTCCCGGTCGCGGAACGCCGCCTCCACTGCCTCCGCCCCCGGCTTCCCTTCCTTCCTCTCTCCCTCTCCCTCTCTCTCCCAACGTGGCGCCGTGTGGCAGCGGGCCTCGGCACCGTCGCTTCACCGCGTGAGGCGCGGGTGGCGCCACGCCGGCCCCGGGTTGCGCTGGACCTCCGCGTGTTGGCCTCGGCGGCGGCCGTCCCCGGCCACAACGCGGCGTGTGGGTGCCCCGCCGTTGGCCGCTGGCCCGGGTGCCCCCCGACGCGGCCTTCTTCCACAGCTCCGCGTCTGCTCCTCTGCTCCACGAAACCCTAGGTGCATGTGCTCGACGACCCCGGCTACGCATCGTCTCTTCCTCTCCGGCAGTGGCTCCGATGGCTCAACTTGGCGGCAGATCGGTGGTGCCTCACCCCTCCACCCGTGCTTCTGCGGCGACGGAGGCGGGTCACCCCTTCCTCGTCTCTCTCCTGCTCTACAGAAGCCCATCCACCAGGTATGGATGCCTATGGGCACTTTCCCTACTCTATTTGTGCTTTAGCTACAAGGTTTAGTTCCCTAGATTTAAGGATTGATTTATTCGGATTTGTTACCGGACATGGATGAGGGATTAGAGGCAAGTGTTTAGTTTGCTTTCTTTCTTAGCTTCGTTTAGCGGCACATGGATTCCTGTTGTTACCGGTGATGAACTATGCACATTGTTACTGCTGAGACTTCATCGTTCTGTGACTTTGGGAGTTTTACCTTTTAGTGGTGTTTCCATATTGTTATCTACCTATCTAAGTGCCTTCACTCAGAGATTTGAATTTCATCTGTATTTTGTTCCATATTTTGCTATGTTCTTCTAACATGTTTTCCTTTTGTAAATGCAAGGTTTAGTAGAAGAGTAAAATACTTCGATGTTGTAGATCATGTGCAGGTGACATACTACATATCTGAAATATCTTCAGGTAAATTATTTGAAACCATGAAAATCTGATTCTATAGTTTTAAAGACATGAAAAATAACAAGAAAAATGGCCTATTCATACTTCTTTTGTTGTTTTTTCTGTTACTGTGAACAAAACATTCACCAGGTGAATAGCCTGTTCAAATAAATTATGAGCATCCGGCGTTGCCAAGGCACTGGATTGTTGAAGGGCAACACCAAAGTGCAGAGGCACGAGCCTGCGCTGAGGGGATGCCATGATGTCAAGTTCAGCGGCAGCAACTAAAGGTCGTGTTTTCTATATCAGCTATAAATTTTGGTTTGCTTCATCATGTTATTTAGGGGAACATGACATATCATTATCTGCAATTGCCTTGGGTACAAAAGCTTTGTCTAATTATTTGTAAGGATCAGAAGGAACTACTCCTTTTATTGGCTAAATTTATAAAAACAATACCTGTTGTAGAGCAGATGCGAACAATATTGGAGATCATTGTGGTGGATGGATGGTTGCATGCCATGAAAAAAGGTTGAACAACCACTCTTGGTAAGAATAAACTTATCTTTGCAATCTAATTGTTTTTTTACCTCAAGGTTTTATTGTGTACTCTGATTCACACAATCTGTTTCTACTATTAGTCAGTTTGATCGATTTACAAGATCCTTCCTTTCCAAATTTAGAATGTGCACTGCTGATATAGGTTTAGTCTCACATAGCCTGTCTTTTCCTAATTTCCTGATGGTGTCACTAGATTTCTAATACCAGTACTGCTTATAGATAATTTATCCCTACAAAGTACCTCATGTACCGACTTTGTGGAGATTGATTCTAATGTGTTTTGGGGCTCTTATTGTAATGCTAACATTTTTAAAAAAAATGCTGCCGATATACCGATTTAGTCTTGCACGATGTTGCCTCTGCTGCTATATAGGTTGCTTCGTTCTGAGGTTCGCTGCTTCAACTATTTGGCTATTTCAGACCAAGTACATTTCTTGCTATGCAGACGCTGTGCCTAATGCAAGTAGTAAGCAAGTTTAGTCCTTCCTTTACATTGCTGGGCAATTGACTAACAACGCTAAAAGGCCATAGTTTTTCCAAGATGTCTGAACAATGTTCTTGTGTGTCCTGCAATATTATAAAATTTGACACCGCATCATTGCAATGACCATTTCTTTGTACAGGTGTACAAGCTATCCATTGCTGCGGCGTGTGCCCTCACATGGCCACCAGACCGTATTGTAATACAAGCCTTGGATGATTCCACTGATCCGATTATTAAGGTAGGCCTTGGTTTCAGGGACATAGTTTATCTTGATTGACTAAAAGTAGAAATATTCATATATTTTTGGGTCAAATTGTGGTTGATGTGATGTATTTTTAAACGTTAATTGTGACTTGAAATTGTAAAGGAATGATCAGTTTCTCATTTATCGAATGGGGCATATGAATGTTGATACTAATTTGCTAGGTTAAGTGTACTTGGTAATAGTCAGGTGATGCTTGCTAGCCCTACAATATGATGCCCACCACCTGTTTGTTAGAGTAAGCAAACAACCAAGCAGTTCATATATTTTCCCCACTTATATAAAAAACAGAGATAGAATGATCATATAATTTTGTATTATCTTAATGATCATATATATGTACATACCATCCTCATGCTATGACTCTGAGTATTTGTCATGTCAGTTGCTAAAGATCAAATGAGTGTTCAATCCTACACTGCATCTTTAGTTGGATAACCAACGTACGTAAGGACGCGCGTGATGGACTAGTACATTAATATACTACTAGTACCTAGGTCAAGTCATTGGTGTGGACGTCGTCCGGATCACTGCTGCGTCGATCTCATTCTCACATGACTTCGCTCAAGGTAGCAGACTTTGAACAGCACATGACTTGTTTTCTTGGCAATTTCTTGCAGCCACTGTGACTTTGTGTTAAGATTGAATTGTGACCCATGGCTGCACCTGGCCTGTTTCAGTCTACAACAAGTCGCCAGATTTATCTTGGTTATCAGACGTCAGATACAATGCCAGTGTAAAATACTCGCTCTGTCCCAGATTATGTGTCGCTTTTGGTTTCTGTGCCGCAAGTTTAACTCGATTTGTAAAAAATACGAGCAACATTTGTATTTCCAAATAAATTGGCTCTTGCATTTTTACCCCTGTTTTGTATCGAAATTGTGATTTTGTCCTTGTTTTTTTTTACTTTGTGAATTTGTCCCTGCGTTTTCAAAACGAAGCACTACTTTGCCCTATTCCGTCATCCTCCCCTAACGGTGTTAACATTTGTACAAAATGATTAAAATGCCCATATGATTTTGCCCCGTTTGTTATGTCTATTTATGATTTTACCCCTGATTTAGAATTAGACATTTATATTGTAATGTTGACAAAAATGATTACATTTGGTCAAATATATTTGGCACAACTTATAATTATTTCAATTCAGATTTGATATTGAAAAAATATTCAAAATTTTGGCAGCACATTAACAATATTGTATAATCTTTAACAAGGAGGAGTTCACTGGAACATAGGCGCCATCAACTCAACGCAGACTAGTTTTTGAAAAAGAAACACAAATCCATAACACGTAGCACTGCCGTATCCATGCAAGCATGCGGATTCGTCTCGAAATAGTCCAACGCGACCGCATGTAGGCGTCCGTCACGGCCCCCGCGGCGCCGCGCACCAACCACGTGGCGCGTGGTAGAGAGCCAGAGATGACGCCAGCTCCCTCGCGGGGCACGCGGCGCTGGTCAGCACGATAGCATTGGGTGTTGGCAAAGTACCCCGCGGGGAGCTGAACCGCGGCCGCCCATCCACCCGCGAACTGCAGCTTGCTCCGCCGCGCCGACCGTATCCCCAGCGCCCACTCCACACCTAGCCGGCCAGTGCCTCGAACATGGTGCACGCACGGCCCTCCAGCGCCACCGCCGCCTTGACGCGCGTGATGGACGCGGGCGTGAATCGGAATGAGCGGTGCTGGGTGCAGGAGCGGGGAGTCCGAGTCATCCTCGTCCCCGTCGCCGTCCCCGTCGTCGTCGTCATCGGTGATCTCGGCGAACTCGTGGTGCGGGAAGAACGAGACTGCGGAGTGCGCCCCTGAGCCGGACCCAGACGAGACCCGTGGCCGGGCACCGCCGCCACTCGGCGCGCGCACGACGAAAGGCCGCGGCCGCCCCCCGCGCCTCGGAACAGCAGCCGCACTGCGCAGGAGGCCCGAGGCCGGGAGGCGCCGCCGCACCGCGCGCCCTACCTCTAGTGTAGAAGCCGCCGCTGAGGTCGGCTGCACGCCCGCGACCCCGCGCCAGATGCGCCCGTGCATGATGCAGCCTAGGTCGGATGAGGAAGATCCTAGAGATAAGGATAAGGGACAGTGTGATCATTTCGCCTTTCCTTTTTAGATTTGGAATTTTTTTTAAATCATTTTTCCCTGCCTATCTAAGGACATCCGAAGTAGGGGCAAACGAATCGTTCATTTCAAAATAGCAGAGGTAAAATTATAAAATTGAAAAAGCAGAGATAAAATCACAATTGGAGCACTGGATAGGGGCAGGATCACAATTTTCCCATAAAAAAACTAGATTCAAAGGTTTTTCCAATGATACTAATTATATACCATGAATATTAATATTTTTAAATATATATTTTGTCAAATATGTTTCTTAGGAAGCGAAAACGAAAAATATTTTGGGACAGAGGGAGTGCGCGTTAACTTCCTGATAAATGCCAGTGACAGTCATCGCATATTTCCCCATCACTGACGGTTCCAAGTGATACAGTTTATTGAAGTCAAATACCTTGTTGGCTAGTCGCCAACCCTCAATGCAACACCGTGCTCATCTTGATAACCACTGCCTCAGGCAGTCAGTCAGGCTCAGGGTCTGGGCTCAGACTCAAGAGACAAGACAGAAGACGCCTGCATACAGCATACTGATGTATGGAGATGCATGCACCAAGCAATTAAAATTTAAAATGGCCCTGCTGTGCAAACTGCATATACAATGTTTTTGAATTTTTAGTCTTCGTGTGATAGCTAGGTATGCAGCTACTTAGCAGTTTCTTCAAGTAATTAATGCTTGTTAATATGAGATAAACAACAAGAAAACTCACGGTTTCATTGTTTTCAACAGAGGCGGCCGGGATCGGACGAGGTTTTTCTACCAAATTATCTTGGTCAACTATGCCTTGGTCCATGCTGATGATGCTGGATTGTTACATTTCTGGATCGACGATGATAGAGCTTAGAGCAGCAGCCAATATAAAATACTATATCAACAGCAACAGCAACCTCCGATCCGTGCTTAAAAGAGCTCCATGGACGACGACCTCCACTCCATGCCAACTACGTACCTTGGGACTACCTTCAGCTACCAAGGCACACACACTAGACACGCGTCTTTGCCTCTTCGATCAATACACGCTCGTCGTGCGGCGCCAGCATGTCGGCTCACGTCGTCCGCCGCCGCCTCCTCGCCGTTGCCCTGGTTGCTTTCGCCGCGGCGACGATGCAGGCGGCGCCGGCCGCCGCGGAGGACACCATCCTGGGCTACAAGTGCGGCATGCCTGTGGCTGCGGCTGCGGGGGCAGGCAACAGCAGCGACGCCGCCTACAGGTCCAACCTCAACGCACTGGCCGCCACCCTCATCGCGGGCGCGCGGGCCAACGGTTCAGCCATCGGCGCGTCCGGCACATCATCGTCGTCGCCCGACGCCGCCTACGGCCTCGCGCTCTGCCGGGGGGACTTCAGGGGTGACGCCTGCGCGCGGGGGCTCCGCGATGCCCTATCCAGCGCCATCAACGACTCCGAGAACGCTTTCGGCTGCGGCCCGCGCCTGAGAGACATCACTCTCTTCTACGACCGCTACCAGCTGCGGCTCTCCGGCGCTGACTTCCTCTCCGGCACCGACGGTGGCAACGCGCCCAGGTGGGCTGGGAACAACACCAACTTCGTGACCCCCCGACGCGGCGCGCCGGTTCGACGCGCTCGTCCGCGAGCTGGTCACCACCATTGCCGGCATCGCCGCGGGCAAGCCCGGCAGGTACGCCACGGGGCGGTCGTGGTTCGAGGAGCAGCGCCTCACGCTGTCCGCCCTGGTGCAGTGCACCGTCGACATGTCGCCGGACCGGTGCCGCGCGTGCCTCGACGGCCTCATCTCGGCGTTCCCGGCCACGTTTCCCAGCGGGCAGCATGGCGGGAGAATCCTTGTGCCGCGGTGCACCGTGCGGTACGAGACGGACGACACCTTCTTTAACACCGCCGACTTATCAGTCGACCTGCACAAGCAAAAACAGGCCAAACGTATGTAATCCTTTTTTTTCATCCAAAACGCACTAACATTTTTTTTCCGTTTTCACATAATGGAATTAAACGACATTATCAAACTATTTGTTTTCTAAATGTAGATTAGCAAAGATGACTTGAAAATACAGATATATAAAGTGGCTTTCATGACAAACTCTACTGATCATATCATGTCTATCCATGACAAAAGATATTTATATTGTGTAAATTAGCAAACAAAATGTTTCAAAAGTGGACTACAAGACTCTGGATGATATTTATTTTGAGAATGGTAGAGTACATATAGGGGACAAACAGATCTTTTTTTACAAATGAATTAAACATGAGCACCTTTCACAGTTCATTTGAATTCTAATTCCGGCTTGGTTTTAACGCAGCGAGCAAGGCTTGGCTCTGGACCACCATAGCCGTTGTTTCTCTACTTTTGTTGTCTGCTAGTTTTCTTCTCCATAGATGGATCAAAATACGGCAAAAGCGAGGTATATATTTTTTTTCTCGCGCTTATATAAACTCACAAAGAAACTTCAAAAAAAAAATCCCCTTTTCCTTTGTCTGAACCTGGATCGTCGAATTTCTACCAAACTGTTGTGATCAGAACTTGCTCGGTCGGAATTACGGAGGTTGTCTATAGCTGTTAAAAATGTGATCAACCTCTGGAGATTGGAAGAAGGCAACTCAGGGTTTTCGCTCTACGACTTCTCTCAGATGAAAGGCGCTACCAATGGATTTTCGATTGAAAACAAACTCGGACAAGGTGGTTTCGGTGCTGTCTACAAGGTATATTTATGTCATTTGCAGTGATATTCAGACATTCACAATAAGTCCTTTGCTCTATCTTCAAATTAAGTAGTATATATATGTTTGGTGTTGTCAGGGAGTGCTGCCTGATGGACTTGAAATAGGAGTGAAAAGACTTGGCCCATGTTCTTTGCAAGGTTTGCTAGAGTTCAAGAATGAGATCCAGCTCATTGCAAAGCTTCAGCACAGGAATCTAGTCAGGCTGCTGGGCTGCTGTATTGAAGGGGAGCACGAGAAGATTCTGGTCTATGAGTACATGCCAAACAAAAGCCTAGATCTCATCATCTTCGGTATGTATATATATATAGTGTGCCAAAAGATTTCCTTGAAAACTTGTCCCAAGAAGTTCTTCTCCTTGAGAAATAAGAAATTCTCGAGAAATGAAATGATATGCTTCCATTGAAATTAAATCTCTTCTGATGGAGAAAAAATGTTTTCCTTGATGACACAGTCGTCGTCTAATACACACCAAAATCTTATCCCAGTGTAATTTGTGAAATTTTATTTTCTCATCAGTCTTAACTCTGACCACGCACATTTTATTTGCATTGCATGTCTTCTTCAGACAGTAAAAAAGGAGCATCATTAGATTGGCCTAAACGTCTGAATATAATTGACGGGATAGCCCAGGGGCTTCTCTACCTTCACATCCACTCGCGCCTCTGCGTGGTCCACAGGGATCTCAAAGCCAGCAACATTCTCTTGGACAGCGAGATGAACCCTAAAATCTCAGATTTTGGGATGGCCAGGATATTCAGCTCTAGCGTGGCCGAGTCAAACACCACTCGAATTGTGGGCACACAGTAAGTAGAGTCGATCCAAAGACAAATCCGAAGTTGACTTGTATATACAGTTTAGTTTATTGCATTAGAATATCTCCAATTCTCCATTAATATTAACTTCAGTGATTGTGTTGTATATATTATCATCAAGTGGGTACATAGCTCCGGAGTATGCCTCGGATGGAGTTTGCTCGGTCAAGTCTGACGTCTTCAGCTTCGGTGTGCTGCTCCTGGAGATCATCAGCGGCACCATGACCACTGGCTCCCACAGATTCGATGGGAAACTGTACAAGCTAATCGCATATGTTAGTAATATATATACATTCTACTAGATATAAATCTTATCAATTGTCTGCTGAAGATGATTACATATGTTCGTCAGAGACAAGGCACATTAAATTTGCGATAGCTATCTGCTCTACTTTTCTTGCACAGGCATGGCTGCTGTGGAGAGCCGGGCAATGGCCGGAGCTGGTGGACCGCAGCTTAGGGAGCGGAACGTATGACTACACCATGGAGAGGCACATCCACGTGGCGCTCCTGTGCGTGCAGGAGAGCGCGGAAGACCGCCCCGCCATGGACGAGGTCGTCAGGATGCTGAGCAGCGGCGAGGTCGGCGCGGCCCTCCCGGAGCCGAAGCAGCCGGCGTACTTCAACGTGCGCCCCGTCGGCACGGAGATGTCGGCGTCCTGCGACATGACCATCAGCATAACCTTGTCGAGATAGCAGTAGTTGTCATGGATGCACCCATGCACTTAAGCGACTGTATTGTGTGTAGAGTGTAGACTTTAGAGAGCTATCCTAACAGTTCTATTCACAAGCATGCTTATTGCTTACCATGCATGATCTGACAAAATATTATGACTCAGGATGCCAAAATATGCATGGGAGATACAAATTGTACACCCTGAATGAAAATGTTGAGATACGTGCTGCAGGCTGTCAAAATGCTGTTTCTTTTTTTTTTTTTAAAGAAATGCTGATGGCTAGCCATTCTGACCCTGCTCACACTGAATATCTGGTACCACTCAAGGTGTGCGCGCAGAAGGATTTGGGTTAGATTCTGTTGAAATTATTTTGGTGTGATTAGATCTGGTCATTTGATTCATGGTTCATGCTTCGTTCCTAGCGATCGGCGACGTGGTTGTGTGAATATCATCGCGACTCAAATGCTTTGGATTTGGTCGCTCTGTATTTTTGTTTTGTTTTGTCTGAAGCCTCTTGTAGTGAAGCTCAGATTCAATTGGACGATCTGTGAGCTAGTACAGCATGCGCCCGCAGACTGACGGCATCGTGGGTTCTTGTTCAGAATAGAGCATTGCAGACTTGCAGTGCAGTTCAGTAAATTCTCTGGAGTGCTGGAGCCGTCAGACTTAGGCCCCGTTTAGTGTAGATCAGTTTTTTTTCCAGGTCCACAGGCATCTTTAATGGCAGAGTTGAAACTGTTTAGTAGAACAAATTCTCATAATAGATCTGAGAGAGGGAGATGGTGGAAGCTACACTTTTTAGATCCACCTGCTTATCCTAAACAAGAATCCCAATCATATCCAGAGACAGCACTTATCCTAATTAACATTACATAAGAATAGATGTATAGGCTTCATTTCTGAATACAACTCTTCAGATGCTTGGTGGCACTACTACGAACAACGCTGCCCAAGTCCTCCATTCCACCTCAAAAACTAGCCACAACATCAACGATCAGAGGTAAGTAAGCTTATGTCTGCACATGTTCACCTTAGAACTAGAAGATAGTTTACAGTGACAAATCTTTAGTTGGTAGATACAGAGAAGTCTCTTAACAATAATCAGTTGAAGCATTCAACAGTGGAACTAGTAGCACCAGTAGGGAGACAGGGAGATGAGAACAAATCATTCTGCTGACATGAATGCCATATCAAATGAGGCTAAGAAAATCCAGATTTCAGTAAACTACATAGATTAAATTGTGTTATCAGTTATTCGCAGCGGGTTGGAACATCACACCATGAAATCCAGTCTGACCCACAGACAAACAAAATAATTTAACTAATATGCAAGCAAATTACAACTGTCGATGTAAAACAGGAAAACATCACTGCTTATGAAGTAACATATAAAAGACAAATCAGCAGCAAAAAAAAAAATCTCTTAATCCAGAAATGGGAGTAACCTATTTCGCAAAAAAGAAAGAAAGAAAGAAATGGGAGTAACCCACGCTGACAAAACATTATCAACTGTACTCATCAGTTACTTGATAAAAAATGCGAATGGATAATCTGGCCATTCCCTGTTGGGTTCTCAGCTATTCAAGTGTGAATTGTGGAAAGTCAGAGTCGGATGCAGAGAGCGACCTCGACTCCTCGAGCTACACACAGTTCCACAAGCAAAGAGGATTGGGTAGACAAAGATAGATGAACAAAATGGAATATAACCATAGCAATTCAGTGACAAGCTTGTGCCTGCTCAACGCCTAGTCAACAGCTCGCCGCGCTTGCAGGAAACAGAGTAGCGAGCAATCAGGAAGGGAAAACAACATCAGAAGTCCCCCTCAGCTTTCCTGGATCCGCAAGGAGCCGCCGCCGTGGCGACGAAGAGCCTGGGCCTGCTTGGCCCTCTCCGTGTGGCACCGGCGCACCGCCGGTGAAGGGCAGCGGGAGGCCGGGTTGTGCATCACCGCCAGCCGCGGCGGGCACTCGGGGTCACGGGATACGCGAGATCCGTGAGCGCAGGTGGATCCGCGCGCGTCGTCGAGACTAGAAGACGAGACATACAACGCTGCTCCTCGCGGCGCTCGGGCCTCGGAGCACGGGCCCTCGCCGTCGTCTCCTGAGACGACGGGGCAACCGTCTCCAAGCCAAACCGAGGATTTTTTAAAAAAAACGAAGATAGAGACGGGCTGTGACGACGCGTTGTACGTATGCCATGAATACTCATGAGGTACTCATGTCATGATAACCGTCCCTCTGTTTTTTTTTAAAAAAAAATTACCGCCAAAAGGCTCCAGAATCCAGATCTATCGCAACTGACGACGACGCGCATCTCGTAACCTTGAGGAACGACGAAAGACAGACAGGCTCTGTTCAAACAGAGACCTCTCCAGTCAGCACACACCGCTGGAGCCTGGAGGCTGTTCTGTTGGGTTGTTTCAGGCCACCTAAACTAACCGCCACCTAACCACCCGAACAGGAAGCCGTTTTTTTGGGCGCCAAATCTCAGCGACCTTGCTGACCCACGTCCAGCCATCCATAGCTAGCTTAGCTTTGCTTGCGTACACACGGTACACGGACGGACGAATGCCGGACAAGGTGAAAAAAAACTGGCGAGAGTAGTGAGGAGACCCCTGTTGGTTTAGCTACCCTCAATCTAGCTGACTGACTGACTGACTTAATTAGATGTTACTAGAGACCACAACCACCGTCAGACGACCAAACACCTGCACCCTCACACTCCCTCAGTCTCCCCCTCCCATATCAACCCAGCCACGGCAAGGAATCCAACCGAGAACAGTTCCTGCATTGTCCGGCGAGCTGTCTGTCTCCTTCCTCCTCGTTCCGTGGAGATCTTGAGCTCGGACTAGCCTCGTGACATCACCTACATACATTTACTCCCATCGTCGGCTCGGCTGCCTAGCTATATACACCGCGCTCACCCTGCCTCCTGTACCTGCCTGCAAGGAGCTGTGTCCACCAGAAGCTAGCAATCTAGCATGGGTCGTCGGGCGGCGGCGATGGCTGCCGTGGCGGCGCTGCTGCTGTGCGCCGCGGCGTTGGGAGTAGGAGCGGAGGTGGTGGACGAGTTCGGGGGCGGGGCGTCCTTCATCTTCGGGGACTCACTAGTAGACGCCGGTAACAACAACTACATCCCGACGCTATCCAGGGCCAACATGACGCCCAACGGCATCGACTTCGCGGCGACGGGCGGGACGCCCACGGGTCGGTTCACGAACGGGCGGACGATCGCGGACATCATCGGCGAGATGCTGGGGCAGGCGGACTACTCGCCGCCGTTCCTGGCGCCCAACACGAGCGGCGGCGCGATCCTGAACGGCGTCAACTACGCGTCGGGCGGCGGCGGGATCCTGAACGGCACGGGGAAGGTGTTCGTGAACCGGATCGGGATGGACCTGCAGGTGGACTACTTCAACATCACCAGGCAGCAGCTGGACGCGCTGCTGGGGAGGGACAAGGCCAGGGAGTTTCTGAAGAAGAAGGCTATCTTCTCCGTCACTGTTGGGTCTAATGACTTCCTCAACAACTATCTCATGCCCGTGCTGTCTACTGGCACGAGGATCCGTGAATCGCCTGACGCCTTCGTCGACGACCTCATCTTCCACCTCCGGGACCAGCTCACGGTACGTGCGTTCACCAAGCATGGCAATGGCATGTAAGTGGCAGCAGCAATGGCCGGCTGCCAGATGATCCTGATCCTGAACGCTTGCTTGCATGGATGATGGATGCAGAGGCTGCACACGCTGGACGCGCGCAAGTTCGTGGTGGCCAACGTGGGGCCGCTGGGTTGCATCCCGTACCAGAAGACCATCAACCGGGTGGGCGTGGACGAGTGCGTGAAGCTGCCCAACCAGCTGGCGGCGCAGTACAACGCACGGCTCAGGGAGCTCATCATCGAGCTCAACGGCAACCTCCCCGGCGCCAGGTTCTGCCTCGCCAACGTCTACGACCTCGTCATGGAACTCATCACAAACTACCCCAACTACGGTGAGCCGCCGCCATGAGCATGCATTTCATTATTCAGCAAGCAGAGCAGGACATGGATGCATGAATGAATCCATCACATGTATGTTGCAGGGTTCGAGACGGCCAGCGTGGCGTGCTGCGGCAACGGCGGGTCGTACGACGGGCTGGTGCCGTGCGGGCCGACGACGAGCCTGTGCGACGACCGGGACAAGCACGTGTTCTGGGACCCCTACCACCCCAGCGAGGCCGCCAACGTGCTGCTCGCCAAGTACATCGTCGACGGCGACGCCAAGTACATCTCGCCCATCAACCTCAGGAAGCTCTACTCCCTCTGATCTAATTGCCCGGCCCCTCGCTCACCGACCATTTCATTTGGCCGCCGTCGACGCGTCGAGCCAGCTTTCATTTGCATTTCCTGCGTGCAATGCAATGCAACTGTGTGCAGTGGTATATTGTTGATCTTGGACAAGCGCTCAATTGCGACCTGTAATTTTTTTGGTGCGAAGAAATTAATTTAGCATGTGGTTTTCGAGTGTATGTAATTTGTAATGTAGCCAAACTAATATTTTATTTTAAAGACATCGAAGGACATGAAACAAGTTTTGGAGAAAATATAGCAAAAACCAATCGAACATCTCCAGAAAATATAAAATTCAATCAAACCATCAAATGTGCTTTCTTACAAATGGATCATTGCCCACTCAAAAAATGAACCTACGGCCCATTAAGTTGAGCCCAATTACCAAAATGACACGAACCCAATTAAACTGACAGCCCAACTCCTCTCCTCGCCCTCGGCTGACTTCGGTTCGGACTTGCCCAGTTTCTCCCCTCCGACCGCCGCACGGAGAAGCAGAAGCCATGCAGGCCGCCGCCGCGCGCGCACGCCGCCTCCTCGCGTCCCCGGCGGCCTCGGGGATCCCCGGAATACTCTCCGGACCGACCCCAGGGCGCGCATCCTACGCCGAGGGCGTTCTCCTTCACGGTCTCGATGGCGCCCCCGCCTCGCCGTCCTCTCCGCATCATGCCAGGGGCTTCTCCTCCTCCTGCTTCGCCTCCCGGTCGCCATGTGAGCTTCCTTATCTCATACCTATCAAATGTGTGCTCTGCGCTTTGCTTCCCAGTGCGCTGCTCGCGGGTTTGCCTGGCGCTGCATTTCGTCAAACTGGTGGTGAGCGCGCGGAGTGGCATGCCCACCGTACGGCCTCGAATCTCGAAGGGCTCTCGCTTTCGCTTGGATTTCATTTTTCATGTTCCGAGTGGGAATGGTCAAGGTTTTGAGCGGCGGAGATGTTCGGCAGAGCTGATGTGTTTGTGGTTTGCAGTTGAAGTCTGGGTTTGATGAGAGTTAAGTTTTTTTATGGAATGAGCATGAGTCGGCTATTGCCTTATATGGCACTCTAATTTGCTTCATTTCCTTGTACTGATATATGCTTTCGTCCCTTCACTTCTAACGTTCCGTGGTCTCTTGTCCATTTTGCTTGGGCCTTGTTTAGATGCCATCCAAATTTCAAGTTTTTTCACTCTCTCCATCACATCAATTTTTAGCCGCGTGTATGGAGTATTAAATGTAGGTAAAAAAATAACTAATTATACAGTTTAGTTGGAAATCACGAGATGAATCTTTTGAGCCTAGTTGGTCCACGATTGGACAATATTTGTCAAATAAGACGAAAGTGGTACTATTCATCGAGTTGAAAAAATTTGCAAAGAGAACAAGGCCTTGCTTTGGATTACATTGAACTTTCCTTAAAGAAAAGAGGGTGTTGCAAACACTCTGCAAAGCATCTGAACCTTTAAGTGACTTTAGCTATTGCAGTGAAATGTTTCACTAATGACCATTTTTTTGGCCATGATTGAGATTAGTTTTGATTCATTAAACCATGCTGACTATTTTTTTTATTAATTTAGGTAACCTCCTATCGCCGACCATAGCTTCTCAATGGTTGAGTGAGAAATCAGTAAACTATCACATGACAACAGCACACTTCTCAACGGAAGCAAGTGACAAGGACCACCCTACAGGTTATCTATTAACTTATTCAGTTTATTCAAAGAAGGTCCACTATCGAGATAAGTAGCAGCTTTTCCATACCATTGCTAAGTTAGCAACAAAAGATCCCTTGCATAGGAATTATCTAACCAGCAACCATCTGCTAACTGGACGTTTCGATGTAGACTCATCAATCTACTTTACCATCTTGCTTGTTATCTTTGTAATATCTTTGAATCAAGATTTTCTCATGCAGTCATACATTATTGTAATCCAGAAAATGCAGTGTTTTTTTTTCCTGACCCTAATGCTAATTGAAGTTTATGTATGATCTTCTAATTTGCCCCAGTTGGCTCTTGCTAGATCCATGAAGCGACATTTTGTTTTTGTTTCTAGATGTTTTTATTTGTGTAAAGTTACATTGTTGCAGATAAATCCAACAAATACAGAGTTATTAAATCTTTGAGATATTCGGTTGAATTTTATTATGTATTTCTTTTCATGTACATTTTTCTGCATGATTTCTATAATTATTCATAGAATGGATTTCCTGAAGTTTGATACTACCATTTGTCCATGTCATGGTTCACCACAGAAGCTGTAGAGGAGATGTACCAGAAAATGTTGAAATCTGTTGAAGCTAAGACCATGCCTCCAAATGCCTGGTTGTGGTCGATGATTGATAGCTGCTCCATTAAGGAGGACATCAAACTTCTTTTTCAAATTTTGCAGAAACTCAGAGTATTTGTAAGTCTCCTTCATATTCCTCATACATGTAGAATGGTTCATTGTATATTTTGTCTACCAAGTTACAGTACCAATTATGAGTGCATATGTGAATTTGTTGGTATCATCATCCCTCTTGTGGTGACGGCTACAGATATCTAATCTTGATCTCTAGAGTTATTTTCTTTATTTATTTGCAAAGAAGTGTTCATTCAGCTGAGTTAACAGATTTTCTATTACATTTAGCCGTATTGATAAATTTCAACACACGTATGGAATAAGGGTATGTGGTCTGGAATTGTGATGTTGACTGAATCATCAAGGTCCTTTTAGATTGGTGACGCAGGATAAGAAAGATAAACGGTTTCTATGTCTGTCTTTTTTATTCCTTGAACTTTGGACTTAGTAGCTTTCTTTCAATGTAATTGTTGTTCTCTGGAATCTGGACATAGATGAGAAAGTATGTTGTTTTTCTCCTAAATTTTGTTCTGTTACTATAAGCTATCTTAAATTGACACTTATTATCGATCCAGAGACTATCAAATCTTCGAATCAGCGCAAACTTCAATGAGAATCTCTGCAGGAAAGTAACTGAGGCTTGTGCTCGTGTAGGCGCCATCGACTATGGTACAGTCCCTTTTAAACACCAACGAGATTTTTTTATCTGATACAGGCTGAGTGCATGTTTCCATTTTTTAACCATTTCTGTTGAATCTGGTTTCTAATGCATTTTCTATGTATAGATTTAGGATTTCCTGAGAGAAACTTGTGCCTTGCATCTTAATGAAAAGAATGCTGCATCTATTTTTTCTGCTAATGATATGATATATTGAAGACATTGCTTTTTTTAATAATCTTTGCATGAGTTATCAAGTTCATTATTTAAGATGATAATATTAGATAAGGTTGAAATGGTAAAGGGACATCTATTCTGGTTCATAAAGGCATTAACTTTGATGTCGTGTCACTTCTCAGTTTTGTGTATTCTATAATATCTATTAGGGCCCGTTTGGATCCTTGGAATTGAATTCATTCTAATAATTACAATTTAGGCATAGATTAATTAAGGTAATATAGTTATATATGGAATATATTTGTATATTTATTGTTAGGCATACAAGGGACATACTTATATGTTGCATTTCTATTGTAGGGAAGTAAGTTGAAGAGTGTGCTATAAGTTGGAGAATAGAATTATAGCATAGTGATCTATAGAATCCATTTCCATCTCCCACCCTATGAATTTGAGATAGGCTTATTTATGAGCTTGGGAATGTTATGGAATGTCAAATTCCAAGCCAAATAGCCTAATCCATTATGTAGATTTCAATTCCTCCAAAATGAAGGGATCCAAACGGCCCCTTACTAAATTAGACCCCCCACACACACACACAACACCACACCCACCCACAACAAATCATGACAAAAATAATTCAGTAATTCAGTTTGGTTAAGGTAATGTGATGAATGCAGGGTTGAAGGCTTTATGGAAGCATAATGTCTATGGAATAACACCAACAATTGGTTCTGCTCATTATCTACTGGTATTCTGTTCAAGAGAAAAAGTCTTCTGGTATCCATTTTTCCTAGTTACTTGGTTATGATTCTCTCCTTTTGCAGCAACATGCTAAAGAGCAAAATGACATCAAACTAATGGAAAACGTAATTCATGTCCTATTGAGAAATTTCTTACTGCTGCAACCAGGCACAGCTGATATAGTCTTCAGGTATGTCATTGTCTGTTCTCAGTTGTTATTTTCATTTGTTGTTTTCATATTACTGTACACCATGACCTAGCCTCTATAAAATTGATTTCAATGTTTCATTGCATCATATTAGTCCTATCTTTTTGCAATATAGTTCGGACTCACATTAGCCTTGTAACAAAATAAAGACTCGAAATATTATTATGATACACTACTAATTAGGTATCTTAATAAGTCAACATTTCCGTGATATGTCTAATTAGCAATTATGTGAATTTAGCAGAAATGGTAACCACGAGAATTTGTTGTGGTTGATTTGTATTTTATTTTTTCTTGACTCGTTCTTTCCTTTCAAGATTTCATGCTCTTTTCAATTATTGATTTCATGGATTTATATTGTCTTGTGCAGCATCTGCTATAATGCTGATAGATGGGATTTACTCTCAAAATACGCGGAGAGATTTGTTAAGGCAGGTGTCAAACTGCACCGTGCTGCATTTGACATTTGGATGGACTTTGCTGCCAAAGTTGGTAAGCAGTTTGATTCTTCTTACTGATCTCAGCTAAATATGACAGCTGACCTGAACCTAAAGCCAGCATTGGAGGTGCATTGCCATTGCAACTGCAGCCAAATTAGTTATGGATGAACTGAACATCTTTCATTGCACGTTTCAAGCGGTATGGGTTCGAACCAGGGGCAGTTACCTACTTACCTTACCTGCATGATGAAATCCAGGAGGGATTGTGATGTTAATTTTATTTATGAAATAGTAGTTTTTTTTTTTTGGTTTGGTAGTTAAATCTTAGTTTCTCTATAACATTGTTGTTAATGTATTAAACCATGCTTCTGCAGGGGATTCTCAATCTATTTGGAACATTAATAGTCTAAGAGGCAGGTCTGTCAAACATTATACTCTTGCATCAGGTTTTGCATGTGCAAAGGTAATTGTACCTGGCATGGACATTATTACACAAGAAGCAATAAATTACAGTATTTCTTCCTTTTTGTTTTATTTTGTGTCAAATTGAACTAACCAATCTAAATCTATTCTCCAACGTGCCATGTTAAGTTGCAATAGTACATTAAGTGGTTCTGTAGCATATCATACTAATTCATGATCCATAGTCTGTAGTTAGCACTTTGGCCTTTTTGTGAAACATAGCTACATAGGCACTGTTGGTGATTTGTTCAGTTGTGTGCACTGCTTCAGGTTTCTGTTCTCAGGCTTGTTATTTGTCTTGTTGCAGGGGTCTCTGCTTGATCGGAAGCCAGAAAATGCCGCTGCCATGATTAAACTCCTTTACAAGGTTTGGCACAGGATTATTATTGCCATCAGACCTGTATTACTAAAATACTGGATTTGATTCATGCCAGCAGCATATTCCAAAATATTTCTGGATAACAGATATTTTTTCCTTACTCTGAATATCCTGCTGCATCTATGCTGGCCATGCTGCTCAAGCATATCAAACTCAAGCTATTTTTTTTTGTTTGGCATTTTGAATGTTAAAATGATACATTTCACTATTTTACAGAGTCCTTAAGCTAAAATAGTTTGATAGAGATGATTTTTACATATAAAACCTTGAATTGGCGTGTTCACCTGATGAGAATTTATGGTTGGGCGCAGCATTTGCCTGATCAGAAGAAACCATTTGTGAAAGATGAACTCGAGAAACTTATTGCTGAATGGCCTACGGAGGTGGTAAAAAGGCAGAAGAAAGATAATAGGAAGGTGAGATACTTGATCTTTGGTTTGGTTCCTACACAATCATGCATTTGTTAGTCTTGTATTCCCCAGCCCGGCAGAACTACACTTTCTCCTTGTGACACTACGTCTTGGTATTAATTTGACTGGGGAGTGGGGAGTGCCTTTTTCATTATTTATTATGTTGAGCAACTTTTGCTGCTTTTCAAGAATCAATACTTCTGCACTTTTTTTTGAAAGGAGATTACTTCGGCTTTTAAGGAAGCCAATAACAGTTGTACATACTGGGGTTTCCAGTTTTAAAGAAAGAAAACTGACTGAGCCCTTCAGATTACAAGAAAAAACTACGCATTACCAAGCCTATTGTCCAACGCGCTCTATCAAAGACAGCAAACATCCAGACTATACTCTAAATCACCACGATCTCTGAGCAGGGTCCTTCAAAGTGTACAATACTGCTGCACTCCGTGTTCCTCGTATCTGTTTGTTATATACGAACCTGTCTAGTAACAAAATATCTCTCCATCTATCAGGCGTTGGAGGAAGCTTTGATCAAGGACATCCCTACGATGGTCGACTGCCTGACAAAGTCCGGCCTCGACATCCCTGTGGATCTGGACAAGCTTGCCACCCCACAGCTCCAAGTGGTGTAGTAAAAGAAGACCCGCACGGCTCGCCAGATGATGTTACAACTGGAACAGACTTAGTCTCGAGGAACAGCATGCATTTTGGCCCTGATGCAGGCAGGCAACGCAGATTGAGCGCGCAGCCATTTAGATCCCATTTGTTTTGATTGGTATATATAAGCGTAGTTGTAGCGCTCGCTCAGCTTCTGGAGTGGAGATAATAACATGTAACATGTGTATGCCCGTGCGTCCTAGTTGGCGTGCCCTGTTTCTGTTGTGCGTTGGCCGTTGAGGATTTGTGATAGATATAAATAACATGTTTTTTTATTTGTTTCTGAGAAGGAAATGCCGTCGTATCCTGGCATTTTGTTGTTACCGCACTGATTACTTTGAATTTGTACGTGCTAATCAACAACACTACATACTTGAGGTGATGATATTCAAAAGTGCAGTTGTCACTTGTCAGTAGTAGTAGAACCAAACCAACGCCTGTGCAGTGCAGTCCTACGGTTGCGCGTTGCCTGACGAGCATGCAGGCCTGCAGGGCATTGCGGCCAGCCGTTGGCCACTCAGACATGAGTTGTGAGTTGTGACCTCCATGCGAGAAGAGAAGCGCAGGCAGGGGCGACGAGCTGGCAAACCATGGCCTGATGGCCATGCCTGCCGGCGACGCGTGAATGCCCTATGGCGAACCGGCGGCGTCTCTCCATCCTTCCAGCCTCTAGGGCGGTGAGAACGCATCCGCCCGACCCGACACATGAGTCTCCTCTAGTCCTCTGTAGTTGGTTTCCTCCTGCACTTGAGTCCGTGGCAGGTGGGCCTGCCCGCCGGCATAGCACCCCCGTCTCCGGACCGAATTTTTTACAATTTAGTCTTTTTTTTAAAGTTTCTCACAAATAGACCACCTGACGGAAAGAATTTAGAAAAAGGACCTTTAGCTCGGCGCTATTGATGCTGTCGCCGAGCTAACACGTCTCGGCGCCAGAGGTCCTGGACTCGGTGGATGACATGGCAGGGAGCTCAGCGCCAGTCACTCTGGCGCCAGTCACTCTGCGCCGTAGATCTTGGCGCCGAGCTCGGCGCCTACCTATGGGCCCCGCACCTCTCTTCCTCTCCCTCTCTCGCCCTAGCAGAGCCGAGCCGAGGTTCGTTGTCACCGCCGCTGTCCGCGCCCGCGCCTCCACCGACTGCCGTCACCCGCGCCCGCGCCGCGCCACCGCGCCTGCTCGCGCCGCGCCACCGAGGCCGCCCCACGCCGCGCCGCGGCCATCGCCCCTCCGCCCGCGCCCCGGTCCCCTCGCCGGTTCCTGCTCCCGCGTCACGCCCTCTCCTCGCCTTGGCCTCGCCCCGCCTTGCCGCCCTCCACCGCCGGCCTCGGCTGCGGCCGCCGTGCCTCCCACGCCCGTCGAGTCGGACTCGCCGTGCGGAGCCCCGGGCATCCCACGCCCGCCGCGCGCCACCGCTGTCGTCGGCCACGCCACCGCCGACCCCGCCACCTGCAGTGGCCGGCCGTGCCACCGCCGGCCCGGATCGTCGGTTTGACCCACGCCCATCGTCCGCTGCGACTCCGTCGACGTCCGCGGATCAGTCGTTGGAAAGGTAAAAATTATGAATATGCAATGTATCTACTTAGTTGGCATTTGTTATTTACTAGTTAATGTGATGACTCAGGTAGTTGATTTAGTTAGTGATCTAGTGAGATATATATGTAGATAGATAGAAACATAGATACATAGGTACATAGATATAGTTAGATAGCTACTTAGATATGTAGTTACATATTTAGTTAACTAAATATAATCTAGCTATTTAGTGAGTACACTGTATATATATACGTAGTTATTATCTTATTTACTTAGTTTGTAGTTAGAAAGTACTTGTTAGGTACTATCTATCGTCTAATTTGAACTAAAGGACATGTGTTTCGTTACGTGTTTGAACTAGATGGACAACCTAGTGACCATATATCATGGAGGCGCCATTGAAAGCGATCGCTATGGATATGTTGAGTTTGTTGACATGCAAAGCGTGCCTGTGCTATTCAATGATAGGCCTTCATTTAGAGAGATGGTTGCAAGGGCACAGGAGGAGTTGCATTGCCTTGGAGATGATGGCGTTGCAGTTGATGGTGTACTGCACCTAGGTTGTCCTCCCAACATCTTCAGGCGAATGATCTCAATTGGTTGTGCGGATCAGTGGGAGAACTATGTGAGATCGGCTATGAAGAGCCAGCTGCAATGTTTGGACGTGGTTGTGCGTCGGATGTTAGTTGATCCCATCCCTCATGGGTTTACCCCAGCAATGGATCAGCAGGCACACATCGACCCTCCCGTTCCGGAACCTTATCTGTATGTGGAGATTGCACCTACGGTTCCCGATGCTCAATCTGCCCCGAATGCGGTAGTTGGAGATGGTTGTTAGACTCATGTTTTCGTGGCAGATCCTCCTTATGAGATTCCTTTGACACAGAATCATCCGAGTAAGTGTCTTAACCGCATGGTTTTTGGGAGCTTACCCCGTTCCTTACATCTATTTCTTTCATTCTTTCCTCATTTCTCTACTTATCTTGCAGGAGACATTTCTGAGAATGTGGATGTGCCCCCTATTGCTGCGCAAGTGAACTTTGGAGATGGATTCTGTGGCTCCAATAATGTTGAAATTATGCATGAATCGAAGCCATATGAGATGGCTAGGGCTCTTGATTCTGATGATGATCGCCCTGTTGGAGAGCTGACGGAGAGTGATGTTGAGATGATGAGGCGTATCTTTCCCGGCCGTCGTGATCCTAGAGTTCACGAGTTCAGCGATCTTGCTCATTCCCATCAGGTGTTTGTAGAAGGACATGATGATGAGCTCCTAGAAGCTCCTGAGGCCGGTCCTAACATGGTAATTGAGAATGGGAGGGTGTTCAATGACCTCCCTGCTTTGAAGAGGTGGTTGCAGGCTTTTGCAATGATACGAAAGAGACCTTATAAGGTATTGTATTCATATGTGGAGCGCCATTACACAGTTGTGTGTGACAAAGAACGCTGCCCATGGAGGGTTTGTGCAAGGAAGGAACAGGTAACCGGAAAATGGAAGATCACAAAAGTTGTCGGGCCACACAATTGTGCTGACCATGAGCTAACACTGAGGCATCGACAGTTGACATCTACCTTTATTGCCAAGCGGTTGATGGGAATTTTGCAGGGAGAACCCAACATGAAGGTGAGGACAATTATCAAGACCGTTGAGGCGTTGTATGGAGGTTATGTGACAACTTATGGTAAAGCATGGAGGGCTAAGCAGCGAGCGTGGAAGATGATATATGGGGACTGGGAGGATGGGTATGAGCAACTGCCAGCTCTTTTCAATGCAATCAAAGCGGTGAATCCAGGCATGCATTATGAGTACATCCCAAAACCAAATGCATGGAAGGATGGGAGGCAGATATTCTTCCGTGCTTTCTGGTGCTTCCCTCAGTGTGTCGAGGCCTTTAGGCAGTGTCGTCCCGTCTTCTCCATTGATGGTACGTTCTTGATTGGCAAATACCAGGGCACACTTCTTATAGCCATATCCTGTGACGCGAACAACAAGTTGGTTCCTTTAGCATTTGTTTTGGTTGAGAAGGAGAACAATGACAGTTGGGGATGGTTCTTGAGGCTAGTCCAGATACACGTGGTTGAGCCTGGCAGGGAGGTTGGCGTCATATCTGATAGGCATCAGGGTATACTTAATGCCGTGCGAGAGCAGATAGAGGGGTATGCACATTTGCATCATCGTTGGTGTACTCGGCACCTTGCCGAGAATCTACTCTGGAAGGATGGTGTGAAGGGTAACTTTGATCTGTTCCAAGAGGCTGCTCGACAGCTTGAGGACAAGTACTTTAAGGAAAAGTTGGAGCAGGTCAGAACTGCATCAAATGCAGAAGGTAGACAATGGCTCACAGGTTTGATGAGGGATTTGAAGAAATGGACGAGAGCTCACGACGCCGGTGGATGGAGGTACGAGTTTCAGTGCAGCAACATGGCAGAGTCATTCAATAAGTTGCTACTAGGGATACGTGGTATGCCCGTGAATGCAATCGTTCAATTCACCTTCTATAAGCTTGTTGCCTGGTTCAACGATAGACACGCCCATACATTGCAGTTGCGGAGTGATGGAGAGATATGGGCTCTGAAACCAAAGGCACACCTAGAGAAGGCAAGAGAAAGGGCTGGCACACATGAGGTTACATGCTTTGACCATGCCGTAGGGACTTATCAGGTCGAGCATAGGGGCGGTACAATGTCTGACGGTGAGGTCCGAGAGTCGAGGATACATGTGGTTGTCCTCCAAGATTTCAAGTGCACTTGTGGTAAACCAAGGCAGTACCACTTTCTATGTTCTCATTTGGTGGCAGCAGCTAGGCATCGCAACTATAATATCAAGAGGAGGATACCTCACGAGTTCAGTGTCGGCACGCTTGTGCACACATGGAGCCCCCGCTTCGTGCCATTCCGGGACCTTGTAGAGTGGCCTCCATACGGTGGGCCGAAGTACATTGCGGATCCAGCTTACCGTTGGAACAAGCGTGGATCAAGGCAGAGGACGAGGCACAGGATGGTTATGGATCAGATACCCGAAAGAATGAGGCATGGGAGAGGAACTCCATTTGTTACTGACCCCGAGCAGTACGAGTGCGGCAAGTGCGGTAGACTTGGCCACAATTCACGAAGTTGCCATTGGCAGATTAGTGAGGTGCGACTATTGGTTCATTTTATTATTTTATATTTGTCGTCTTCATTTAATTAATTATGCATGTCTCTTTTTATGCTTGTATTTGTGTCAATTACTTATACATTTCTAAGTTCATGTTTCATTGTATGTTGAAATTCTAATTCATTCACTTTTTTCTAGGATGGAGCAATTCCACCTGCTCGACCCGACGTACGAGGCGACCCACCGAAGACGTCTCATAGCGCTGGGGCAGGTAATAATCTATAAGTTTTGTTCAAAATTTGGTGAGCGTACATGTGTTCGTGAAGTAACAGGAGACTATGTTTTAT